ACCCAAGAATACTCTATCCAGCGAAATTATTCTTCAGATTTGACAGAGAAATAAAAGCTTTCCCAGATAAACAAAAGCTGAGGGAGTTCATTCCTACTAGACCTGCCTTACAAGAAATGATGAAGGGGGCCTTCCTACCTGAAACAAAAAGGCACAGGTTTGCAAAGCTGTGAGCAAAGAGATAAATAGATAAAAATCAGAAAATTGCAGCAGCTCTCTATCAGAATAGGTTAGCAAACAATTATAACATAGAAGATAAAGGGAATGAAAGCATAAAAAATAAGTATAAATACTAAAATTTAGTCATAAACTTACAACACAAAAAAGAATAATTTGTGACAACAATAACTCGGAAGAGAAAGGGGATGGAACCTGCTTAGCCTAATGGAGATAAGAGGCTATCAGAAAATGAACTATCTCATCTATGAGATCTTTTATGCAAACCTCATGGTAACCACTAAACAAAAACTCAGAGCAGAGCCACAAATCATAAATAAAGAGAAAACTGAGAAAAACATCACAGAAAACTGCCAAACTGAAATGGCAGCCAGAAATACAAGGGAAAAGAAACAATAAAAATTTAGAATAACCAGAAAACAAGTGATAAAATGACAGTGTGCCCTCATATATTAATAATCACTCTAAATGTAAATGGATTGAATTCTCCAATCAAAAGACACAGAGTGGATGGATGGATTAAAAAACAAGACCCAAAAATATGCTGCCTCCAGAAAACACATCACAGCTCTAAGGACAAACATAGGCTCAGAGTAAAGGCATAGAAGATCATACTTCAAGCATATGGCAAGCAAAAGAAAGCAGGTGTTGCCATACTTATATCAGACAAAGCAGGCTTCAAGACAAAAAAGACAGTGAGCGACAAAGAGGGACAGTATATAATGATAAAAGGGACATTCCACCCAGAGGATGTAACACTTATGAATATATATGCACCTAGAACAAGAACACCAAAGTATATAAAGCAACTATTAACAGACCTAAAGGGAGAAATTGACAGCAACACAATAATAGTACGGGACCTCAGCACCCCACTTACATCAATGGATAGGTCCTCTAGACAGAAAGTCAACAAGGAACCAGTGGTCTTAAATGAAACACTAGACTAGATGGATTTTATATATATGTAAAATATTCCATCCCCAAACAGCAGAATACACATTCAACCATACATCAGGAAACAAGGCAAGCCTCAATAAATTTAAGAAGACTGAAATCATATCAAGCATTTTTTTTGAACACAATGCTCTGAAACTAGAAATCAACTACAAGAAAAAAGCTGGGAAAGCCACAAATATGTGGAGAGTAAACAAGATGCTACTGAACAACCATTGGATCAATGGAGAAATCAGAAATACCTGGAGACAAATGAAAATGAAAACACAACATACCAACTTTTGTGGGATGCAGCAAAAGCAGTTCTAAGAGGGAAAATTTAGCAAAAAGGCCTACCGCAACAAACAAGAAAAATCTCAAATAAGTAATCTCAAACTACACCTAAAAGAACCAGAAAAAGAAGAACAAAGACAAAAGTCAGCAGTAAGAGGGAAATAATAAAAATTAGAGCAGAAATAAGTGAAATAGAGACTAAAAATCCAGTAGAAATGATCACTGAAACTAAGAGCTGGTTCTTTGAGAAGATAAAATTCACAAACCCTTAGCCAGGCTCACTAAAAAAAAAGAGAAAAGACAGAAGCTTCAAATAAAATTAAAAATGAAAGAGGAGAAATTACAACAGATATTACAGAAATACAAAGGATTATAAGAGAATACTATCAAAAACTATATGCCAACAAATTGCATAACCCGAAGAAATGGATAAATTCTCAGACTCATACAACCTCCCAAAACTGAATCAAGAAGAAATAGAGAATCTGAATCAACCAATCACAAGGAAAGAGATTGAAAGAGTAATCAAAAACCTCCCACAAAACAAAAGTCCAGGACCAGATGGCTTCTCTGGAGAATTCTACCAAACATTCAAAGAAGACTTAATACCTATCCATCTCAAACTATTCCGAAAAATTGAAGAAGACAGGACACTTCCTAACTCATTCTATGAGGCCTACATTACCCTGATACCAAAACCAGACAAAGACAACAGAGAACAGAAAAATTATAGGTGAATACCACTGATGAACATGCATGCAAAAATCCTCAACAGTTATTAGCAAATCAAATATAATAATACATTAAAAGGATCATACACCATGATTAAGTGGGATTATACCAGGGCTGCAAGGATGGTTCAACATCCCCAAAACAATTAATGTGATACACCACATTAACAAAATGTGGAATAAAAATCACTTGATCATCTCAGTAGATGCAGAGAAAGCATTTGACAAGATCCAACACCATTTGTGATTTTAAAAACTCTCAATAAAATAGGTACAGAAGGAAAGTAGCTCAATAAATAAAGGCCATATATGACAAACTCACAGCTAACATCGTACTCAATGGTGAAAAGCTGAAAGCCAGCCCTCTGAGAACAAGAATAAAACAAGGGTGCCCACTCTCGCCACTCTTATTCAACATAGTACTGGAGGTTTGGGCCAGAGGAATTAGACAGGAAAAAGAAACAAAAGGTATCAAAATTGGCAAGGAAGAAGTGAAACTCTCGCTGATGGCAGATGACTTGATTCTATATACAGAAAACTCTAAAGAATCCATCAGAAAACTATTAGTAATAATCAACAACTGGGGGCTGGCCCCGTGGCCGAGTGGTTAAGTTCGCGCGCTCCGCTGCAGGCGGCCCAGTGTTTCGTTGGTTCGAATCCTGGGTGCGGACATGGCACTGCTCATCAGACCACGCTGAGGCAGCGTCCCACATGCCACAACTAGAAGGACCCACAACGAAGAATATACAACTATGTACCGGGGGGCTTTGGGGAGAAAAAGGAAATAATAATAAAAATCTTTAAAAAAAAAAAAAAGTATATTCCTTTAAAAAAAAAAAATAATCAACAACTGCATCAAAGTTGTGGGGTACAAAATCAACTTACAAAATCAGTTGCATTTCTATACTCCAATAACAAACTAAGAAAGAGAACTCAAGAATACAATCCCAATTACAATCACAACCAAAAGAATATAATATTGGGGCCAGCCCAGTGGCACAGCAGTTAAGTTTGCACATTCCTTTTTGGCAGCCTGGGGTTTGCCGGTTTGGATCCTGGGTGTGGACCAATGCACCGCTTGTCAAGCCATGCTGTGGCAGGTGTCCCACATATAAACTAGAGAAACATGGGCACAGATGTTAGCTTAGGGCCAGTCTTCTTCAGCAAAAAAGAAGAGGATTGGCAGCAGATGTTAGCTCAGGGCTAATCTTCCTCAAAAAAAAAAAAAAGAATAAAATATCTAGGAGTAAATTTAGCCAAGAAGGTGAAAGACCTATACAATGAAAACTATAAGACATTATTGAAAGAAATTGATGATAACATAAAGAAATGGAATGATATTCCATGCATGTGGACTGGAAAAATAAACAGAGTTAAAATATCCATAATACCTAAAGCAATCTACAGATTTAATACAATCCAACTCAGAATCCCAATGACATTGTTCACGGAAATAAAACAAAGAATCCTGAAATTCATATGGGGCATCACAAGACCCTGAATATCTAAAGCAATTCTGAGAACAGAGAACAAAGCTGGAGACATCAAAATCCCTGACTTCAAAATATAGTACAAAGCTATAGTAATCAAAACAGCATGGTACTGACAGAAAAACAGACACACAGATCAATGGAACAGAATTGAAAGCCCGGAAATAAAACCACATATCTATGGACAGCTAGTCTTAATCAAAGGAGCCAAGAACATACAATGGAGAAAGGAAATTCTCTTCAATAAATGGTGTTGGGAAAACTATATGGCCACATGCAAAAGAATGAAAGTAGACCATTATCTTACACCGTACATAAAAATGAACTCAAAATGGATTAAAGACTTGAGTGTAAGACATGACATCATAAAACCCCTAGAAGAAAATATAAGCAGTACACTCTTTGACATCAGTCTTAGAAGTATCTTTTTGAAGACCTTGTCTATTCAGGCAAGGGAAAGAAACAAAAAATAAACAAATGGGACTACATCCAACTAAAAAGCTTCTGCAAGGCAAATGAAACCATGAACAAAATGAAAAGACAATCCACCAACTGGGGGAAAATATTTGCAAATCTTGTATCCAACAAGGGTTAATTTCTAAAATATATAAAGAATTCATACAACCCAACAACAAAACATCACAGAACTTGATCAAAAAGTGGACAGAGGATATGAACAGACATTTTTCCAAAGAAAATATACCGATGGCCAACAGGCACATGAGAAGATGTTCAACATCTCTAACTATTAGGGAAATGCAAATCAAAACTACAATGAGATGTCACCTCACATCCGTCAGAATGGCTATAATTAACAAGACAAAAAATAGCAAATGTTGGAGAGGATGTGGAGAAAAGGGAACCCTCATATACTGCTGGTGGGAATGCAAACTGGTGCAACCACTATGGAAAACAATATGGAGATTTCTCAAAAAATTAGCAATAGAAATACCACATGACCCAGCTGTCCTACTACTGGGGATTTATCCAAAGAACTTGAAATCAACTATTCAAACAGACTTATGCACTGCTGTGTTTACTGCAGCATTATTCACAATAGCCAAGAAGTGGAAGCAACCTGAGTGCCCATCAACTGATGATTGGATAAAGAAGATGTGGTGTGTATATATATATATATATATATATATATATATACACACACACACACAATGGAATACTACTTAGCCATAAAAAAAGACAAAATTGTCCCATTCACAACAACACGGATGGACCTTGAGGGTACTATTTTAAGTGAAATAAGCCAGACAGAGAAAGACAAATACCATATGATTTCACTCATATGTGGAAAATAAACTAACACATGGATAAGAAGAACAGATTAGTGGTTACCAGAGGGGAAGGGGGCTCAGGGGAGGACAAAAGGGGCGAAGGGGCACATATGTATGGTGATGGCTAAAAAGACTATTGGGGGTGAGCAAAGTGCAGTCTATACAGAAACTGGTAAATAATAATGTGCACCTGAAATTACACATTGTTATAAACCAATATGACCTCAATAAAATAATTTTTAAAAAAAATAAGGGAAGAAAGTGTACTTAACCATTCTGGTAGGTTTAAAAGTGACCCCCAACCCGTGATATCCATGTCCTAACCCTACAGTCTGTGAATAATGTTACCTTATATGGCAGGGACTTTGCAGGTAAGAATCTTGAGATGGAGAGATTATCCTGGATTATCCAGGTGGTCCCAATGATGTAATCACAAGCGTCCTTAAAAGAATGAGATACTACTGTGGAAGTAGGAGGTGTGATAACAGAAGCAAGAAGTTGGAGTATAGCAAGGAAAGGGTTACCAGCCAAGGAATGCAGGTGGCCCCCAGAATCTAGAAAAGACAAGGAAATGGATTCTCTCCTAGGGAGCTTCTAGAAGGCACCAGCTTTGCCAACACCTTGGCTAGCCTAGTGAAACTGATTTCAGATTTCTGGCCTCCAGAACTGAACAAGAACTGAACAAGAGAATAAATTTGTGTTGTTTTAAGCCACCAGGTTTATGGTAATTTGTTACGGCAGCTGTAAGATACTAATACAACCACAATTTTTACCATTTCCATTGCTCTTCATTTCTTTGTATGGATTGAATTTCCCATCTGATATCATATTCTTTTTGCCTGAAGATCTTTCTTTAACATATCTTGCAGTGCAGGTCCATTGGCAATAAATTCTGTCAGCTTTTTTTTCTCTGAAGATGCCTTTATTTCTCCTTCATATTTGAAAAATATATTCACTGGGTATAGACAGTTCTAAATTTACTATTTTTTGTTTGTTTGTTTCTCCTTTCAGTACTTTAAAGTTGTCACTCCGTTATGTTCTGGATTGCACGTTTTCTGATGAGAAGTTTGCTGTCACTCATATTTATTCTGTACATAATGTTTCTTTTGTTGGCTGGCTGCCTTGATGATTTTCTCTTGAGATGTCATCAGTTGGACTGTGATGTACCTAGATGTGTTTCCCTTTGTATTAATCCTTCTTGGTATGCTCTGAACTTCTTGAATCTGTGATGTTTTGTCTTGTATTAATTTTGGAAAAGTCTCAAGAATTATCTCTTCAAATATCTTTTCTCCCCTGCACTCTCTCTGTTCTTCTCCTCCCCCCACCTCTCGCTCTGCCCCTTTTCTCTGCTCCTCTCCTTTTTTCCTTTTATCCCTCTCCTTCTGGACTCCAATTATCTGTACTTTAGACAATTTGATATCATGCCGTAGCTCTCAGTTGTTCTATTCTCTCTCTCTCCTTCTATCTGTCACTCTTTCTCCTCTTTATATTTCCATTTGGATAATTTCTATTAATCTAATTTTCAGTTTCACTTATTCTTTTCTCTGCTGTATCCAAACAAATTATTCATCTCTGATGTTTTATTTTTAGCATTTCTGTTTGTCCTTTTTTTATAGTTTCCAACTTTTTGCTGAAATTGCCTATCTGTTCAACATGTTGTCCACATTTTCAACTAAATCTTTTAAAAATGTTAAACTTGGTTATTTAAAAATCTTTGTTTGATAGTTCTAACATCTGGATGGGTCATGCCTTGGTCTGGTTTTGTTAACTACTTTATCTCTTGATGAGTCATTTATTTTTCTTGCTTTTTTGTGTTTCTTAATTTTTTGTTGACCCCGTGTGTAACAGCATAGTAGAGACTGAGGTAAATAGTATTTATGCCTAGAAAAGGGCATGCCTTTTATTCTATCAAATCATTAGTGTGGAGTGTTGAGTCAGTTTAGGGGAGTTGAGTGGTGGGCTGCTGCTGCCTTGTGCTAATATGGGGCCTGGAGCACTAGAAGGTTCTTCTCAGTGTTCCTGCTTCAGACTAGGCCTTCAGGAGGGCCTGGCTGCCCCTTTCTCCTGTGCCTGCGTGAATGGGGAGTGGATGGGGGTGAGAATCTTTCTCTGTCCTCTTACCTCTTAGCCTGCCTCCAGTGATAGGCTGCTGTTGTTACTTGGTGCAGACTCATGGAGGGGGTGGGGAGATTTATCAGGGTTTTCTTGAGGTTTCTCAGGCCTCTTGATGCAGCCTCAGTCTTGGGTGGGCCTTGTGTGCCTAAGCCTCATGGCTGGGCTTTCTCAGATATTCTTGTGTCAGTGGAGGTCTCGATGGGATATCCTGATTCCTTTCTACTTCTGTGCACTGAGCATGTTGGGAATGATTTGAACATTGTTAGGAAAGGACCCTCCAAAAGCTCTTGGCATTTCTTTGTTAAAACTCCAGCCCTCTACAGAGTGATCTTTGAAGATTGTAGCTCTGGCTCCAGCCCCTGCCGCAAAGCCCTCTACTGCACCCCATGGCCCTCAGGTCAAATGCTTTGAGCTCTGCAGCCTCGAGCCTCTGCCGCTGTAAGTCTTGTCTGTCTCTCTGGCCCCCGGCCGTCAGTTTTGAGGGCAGTTGTCTCGTTCTCTGTGCATTGCTGGAGATTAAGTGGTGCCTGGCATGTGGTGGGGGCTCAGCAGCTGTCTCGAATGGATGAGGAATGAGTGCCAGCCTAGAAAGCCCTTACATCCCCTGCTTTCCAGCAGAGAGACTCCTGCCAGCCTCCAGGTTCACGCACACATGTCACAGAGAAGCCTTTCTGGGGACTTCCCAAGTTTGGGAGGGGCCCCTCTCCTGTGCGTGTCAGTCCTGGCTCAGATCTTGCAGTACTGATATTCATTTCTATCTCTGCTCCTCCTCCTAGTTCCCCAGGGCAGGGACATGCCCTGCCCCACCCAACCCTGGGCAGACACTTGGTGAGCCTACAGGGGACCTTTGCTGTACCGGTGTGGCTGCCCCAGCTTTGGTCTGATTCTGCATGTGCACGTTGAGTTAAAATTTTTAAAGCCTCTTTTCCTGTTTTAGGAAAAGTGAATCAGCACATTCCCCTCCGTGTAAAAGGATCTGGGCTGGAAGCATGTGGTGTGTCCTGCGAGGCTGGAGGCGACAGTGCCTGGGCCCATGGGGAGCCCTGGGGCAGCAGTGGCCCCTGGGCATCCGTGCTCTGGCCAGTGCAGGCTCCAGGAGTGGGAACGAGTACAGCCATGTGGTGGTGGGTGCAGGCTCCGCAGGCTGTGTGCTGGCCAGGAGGCTCACGGAAGACACTGACAAGCGTGTGCTGCTGCTAGAGGCTGGGCCCAAGGACACGTATGCAGGGAGCAAGCGGCTCTTGTGGAAGATCCACATGCCCGCTGCCCTAGTGGCCAACCTGTGCGATGACAGGTACAACTGGTACTACCACACGGAGCCGCAGCCGGGCCTGGATGGCCGGGTGCTGTACTGGCCGCGCGGTCGGGTCTGGGGTGGCTCTTCATCCCTCAATGCCATGGTCTACATCCGCGGGCACGCCGAGGACTATGAGCGTTGGCACCGAGAAGGCGCCGCAGGCTGGGACTACGCGCATTGTCTGCCCTACTTCCGCAAGGCACAGGGCCACGAGCTGGGTGCCAGCAGGTACCGCGGTGGTGAGGGCCCGCTGCGTGTGTCCCGGGGCAAGACCAACCACCCGCTGCACCAGGCGTTCCTGGAGGCAGCACAGCAGGCCGGCTACCCCCTCACCGAGGACATGAACGGCTTCCAGCAAGAAGGCTTCGGCTGGATGGACATGACCATCCATGAAGGTAGCAATAATGTGCCCATGCCCCATCGCCCTGGTCCTCCTTTTTTTAACAAAAGAAAACTACTCTCTGTCACAGCCCCATCCTTCCTGCCCTCATCATGGCCAGTAAATGTGGAGAAACTGGGCTTGTGCGAGATGGAGGGGATGTGATATAAGGCACCCGCTATAGGCCACGGAATACAAGCCAAAGCCAATGAGAAGTGACTAGGAGATGGCAACACCTTGGGCATTCCCTGGGCCTCTGGCCGCTGCTGGTGTGGATAATGGAGGTTCAGCTCTCTGACCAAACAGCCCAAAGTCCTCTAGAGACTTCCAGATGGGGGAACTGAGGCACAGAGCAGAGAATGGCCTTGCCCACAGCAGGACAGAGGCAAGGGCAGGGTCGACCAAAGCCTCCTGCTTGCCTCCACAGGGTTCTCACCCTTTTGTCTGCAGCTCCTGGCCTCTCTGTCATCCTGTGGAGAGTGAAGGATGTTTTTCCACCTGTATCCAACGACCCTGGGTAGATGTGGGTTTCAGTTGGGCAAGGTCTTATTTTTTTTCCTTGAGGAAGATTAGCCCTGAGCTACATCTACTCCTAATCCTCCTCATTTTGCTGAGGAAGACTGGCCATGAGCTAACATCCATGCCCATCTTGGTCTACTTTATATGTGGGACGCCTGCCACAGCATGGCTTGGCAAGCACTGCCACGTCCGCACCTGGGATCCAAACCGGTAAACTCTGGGCTTCCCAAGCGGAACACGTGAACTGAACTGCTGTGCCGCCTGGCTGGCCCCAGTTAGGCAGGGTCTTTTGGGCTCAGCCTTACTTTGAAGGCAGAGCTTGCATGGTCAGGGGAAGGACAAATTCCCTCTTGCTCCAGCACCTTCCCACTTCCCCCTGTACAGGTGGGTGCCCGGGGAATGGGCAGGGGCTGGGCCTGACCCCCTTGCTCTGTCCTACAGGCAAGCGCTGGAGCACGGCCTGCGCGTACCTGCACCCAGTGCTGAGCCGCCCCAACCTCATAGCCGAGGCCCGGACGCTCGTGAGCAGGGTGCTGTTTGAAGGCACCCGTGCAGTGGGCGTGGAGTACGTCAAGAACGGCCAGAGCCACAGGGTGAGCAAATATCTGCCGGGCTGGGCAGCTCACGGCAGAAAGGAGGTGGACAGCGAGGCTGGTGGTGCTCGGTGTGGGCAGGAATCATGCTCTTGTCCCCATAGCATTGTGATGAGGTGTGAACAGCTGGTGGCAATGGCCTGAGAGACTATTTCCAGGGCCTTGCTGGAGGCGGTGGCCTGTGGAGGTGGGGGATGCCCTAGTCCAGCCACCTGCAGAGCCCCTGGTGCCCCGGTGTGGGTGAGTGCCCACTGTGAGCCTTGTCTGCCCCTCCCCTCCTCAGAGCAGCCCCCAGTACCTTCCACACCTTTGCAGAAATTGATGGGTTTATGCTAAGGCTTTAAAAACCACAAACAAGATCATACTCCATATTTCTGCACTGTGCTGTTTTCCACTTAATGGTGTATCAGCATTTTTCTGCATCCCAAGTGAACATCTGGCTCACTGCTCGCTTTATTTAAACCTCTCTTTGAGTGCCTGCTTTCCTTTATCTCATTTAAGCTCTACAGTCCTCTTTTTAAGACCACCGTTACCATCTGGCTGTTGCAGAATGAGAGTATAGACCACACTTTATTTTTTTTGCTGAGGAAGATTCGCCCTGAGGTAACATCTGTGCTAGTCTTCTATTTTTGTATGTGGGATGCTGCCACAGCATGGCCACTGTCGAGTGGTATAGGTCCATGCCCAGGAACCAAACCCAGGCCGCCCAAGTGTAGCGCACCAAACTTAACCACTCGGCCATGGGGCTGGTCCCTGAACCACACTTTATTAATGACTGCAAACTGTAGCTGCACGTGTGGGTTGCTTTCACATAGCAGCACCCTGAGCATCCCCTTCCTCACTCTTGGGCCTGTGAGCAGGATCCCTTCCTGCCACTCGGGTATGTCATGTCAAGGCCACTTCTCAGGGTTCTGTCTGGCTCTCCGGGAAAGGAAGTGTGACCTGCATGGTCCGCTGCCTCTTCCAGGCTTACGCCAGCAAAGAGGTGATTCTGAGTGGAGGCGCCATCAACTCGCCACAGCTGCTCATGCTCTCGGGCGTCGGCAACGCAGATGACCTCAAGAAACTGGGCATCCCGGTGGTGTGCCACCTTCCTGGTGAGCTCCCTTCTCCACTGCTCCCCAGGGGGTGTCTCTGCTAAATAAAGTGTTTTATTATATTTTATTAGCATGGAGTGGGGAGGGGACAGGAGTCAGTGCTTCTTGGAACTGTCACATTCTTCCCATGAGCCTGAAGGTCCCGGATGCCTCACTGGACAATCCTGCCTCCTGGGGACCCCTCTCTGCCCCAGCCACCCTATCTCACTGAGAGGCAAGACCCTTTTAGCAGGGAGCATCTGCCTGTAGAGTCCGCTGGGCCAGGCTCGGGCAAGTCACCAGGGCAGCCCTATGGAGAGAGGGGGCCAGGCCTTTGTTTTCCACCCTCAGAACTCACCAGCTGCCCTGACATTAAAGATGCCAACTCAGTGCTCCAGAGCATGCTTTTCATGTTAAGACAATTCTCCCACGCCTAAAATTTATTTTATAAACTGTCTTTGATGCCCTTCAGGGCCGGGCCCTGTCCCTCTTGTCCTCTCTTATAACCCAAGCTCACAGAGGCCTGGGCCTTATTGCATTGATCCTTCATCATAAGGTCTGTGAAAGTGCTGGTCTGTGGCAGTGACCTGCTCATCGTCCCCATGACCTCACACAGGGTTGCACAGCACGACAGGCCTGCTTCCCTCCTTCCCCAGGCCAGGGGTGAGGTGGGGCTGGCAGTCCATCTGGCCATGAGCCATTCAGCAACAGCTCCCCGAGCGGTACCTGCTGCAGGCGTGGGCCCTGCCCCCATGAAGGGTGGTTACAAGTGTTGCCCTGGAGTGGGTAACAAGGGCAGATGTCTTTGGCGGCATCTAAGAGGGCTGGACTTGGTGGGGAGTGTGGGAATGGTGTCCCTGGGAGTTGACCTTTAAGCTGAGACCTCGAGAATGATCAGGAGCTGGGCTGGCAGATAAGTGGATGCGAGAGAAGTTTTCAAAACCAGGGCGATGTTGAGAGGCCAGCTAAGCTCCCCTTGGTAGCCACTTTTTCCTAACCACTCCCACCCATTTCAGGAGTCGGCCAGAACCTGCAAGACCACCTGGAGATATATATCCAGCAGGCGTGCACCCGCCCTATCACCCTCCACTCGGCACAGAAGCCCTGGAGAAAGGCCCAGATTGGGCTGGAGTGGCTCTGGAAGTTCACAGGTGGGCATGCTCCTCCATGACCTTGGTAGAGATGGTCTGTGGGCAGCACAGCCTCTTTCCTGAGGTGCCAAGCAAGGGCTCTGGCCCCAGGATGCTGATTCAAAGCTGAGCTATGTCATTTGCCTCAGCTCTTTGAGCCTCTGTTTCTCCTCTGCAAAAGTGGGATGCACAGTTCCTGCCTAACGGGCTGGTGTGAAGACCAGACGCAACAGCACAGGGCCTACCCGTGCTGAGACTCCTCAGGGGCTAGGTGCTGCTCTTCCTTAGAGATGGACAGGGATGGCCTTGTGCTAGACACCGTCTGGGGTCCAAGGAGACAGGAGAAAAGGCACTTGGTACTAGACTGCAGATTCAGCATCCATTTCTCAGCATTTTCCATTTGTTCTCCAGCTGAGTCTCAGAGTACAGAGTTTGGCTAGGAAATGGTGCTTTGAAATCCTGCTCATTGACTCAGCGTATATTTCTCGCACACCTACTGTGTGCTGTGCTAGATGGTGGGAAATGCCAATAAGGCAGGTTCCCTGGGAGAGTTTTCACTCTAGTGGGGACAATGGAAAGAAACCAAGTAAACATGCCAAGTTTTAAGCACAGTGAAAGAAAGGTGAGGATGCTCATTCAACTAGAGGACCTGAGAGGCAGGAAGGATATGTGCAGACCCTGGTGTGTCTGAAGAACTAATCTGCTGGGCCGGGGAGACTGCAGCATATTGAGGACGACACAGTGGTGGGAGGTTGGATGGAAGAGGGCCTGAGCTGGATCATGAGGGCTGGCTGTGTGTGAACAGTGGGCTGCGAGAGGCACAGAGGTAGGCCAGGGCACCAGCAAGGAGGCCCCTGGAGCCAACAGATAAGAGGTAATCTGGGCTTGGACTCCGGTAGGGATGGTAAGGCCAAGAAGATGGATTCAAGTAGATTTTGGAGCTGAAGCCAGTGAGACTTTCTGGGCCGCATGGTGGGCGATGAGGAAGAGGGAGGTGGCAGAGACAGCCGGAGTTTCTGCCTTCAGCCTTGTGTGAAAGGAACAGTTAGGGGTGGAGGCTGGGCTGGGTGTGGGCCGGGATACCCATGGGACATCAGTCACATGTTGGCAGCGGTGGAGTCGGGGGAGAGGGCAAAGCTGAAGACCCTTGGCATGTGGCTGATATTGAAAGCCGTGGCGCTGGGTGAGCCCACCTGGGGGAAAGAGGACAGAGTCGAGGACTTGGGTCCAGGCCTCAGAATAGAGACCAGGAAGAGGAGGAGGAGCTACCCAGCAGAGAGGAGGCCAGCCCACCTGCCACACCTTGACTTGCTCTTCTGCCTCACCCTCTTCTGACCCTCAGGGGATGGAGCCACGGCCCACCTGGAAACAGGTGGGTTCATCCGGAGCCAGCCTGGAGTCCCCCACCCGGACATCCAGTTCCACTTCCTGCCATCCCAAGTGATCGACCACGGGCGGGTCCCCACCCAGCAGGAGGCTTACCAGGTGAGCAGACAGTCTCATCTTCTCAGCAGGCTGCATTTTCCGGCGGTAGCAGGGCCCTCAGGGAGGGCGCCCAGAAGCCTGTGCCCTGCCTGCCAACTGCCCAGGGTGTCTGAGTAGGGAGAGGAACAGGGGAGCCAGGGCAGAGTGTGGCAGACTGCGTGGTGCATGGAAAGGTGAGACCTGCTCCCAGCTCAGGGCAGGTGCTCTAGGTCCTGAGCACCAGAAACGGACAGATGAGGCCAGCTCTGCCCGGGGATTGCCAGCCTCTGAAAGTTTTGGACAATCGGATATAAAGCCAGGAGGCAGGAGTGATTCACTGAGGGGGTTTTTGTGGAAGGGTGCGGGGTAAGATGCAAATACTGAAATGGAGCTGCTCTTAACTGACGTCAGGTGTAGAGTCCTCCCTCTCAGGAAACCCGGGCCTCTCTAACCTCCAGAGTTGTGGGGACTGATGCTTCCTCTGGGTTCTTCTAGGTGCACGTGGGGACCATGCGGGGCACGAGTGTGGGCTGGCTCAAACTGAGAAGTGCCAACCCCCAGGACCATCCTGTGATCCAGCCCAACTACCTGTCAACAGGTAATTCTCCAGCCACTGTTGTCTCCCCCAGGCCTGGGCCTGCTGGGCCACCTGTTGAATGAATGCCTTTATGGGGTTCATGTTTGTCCCTGAGTGTTACCCCTGACCACATTTTCTGAGACACAGGCACCCTCTGGCCCCCTCCACCCCATCATTCTAGCTGGAAAATTGCACATGCTGCTATGTGGTGCCCTGGGTCACTTGAAGTAGCCCTGAGACGTCCTTTTACACAGTAGGAGAGATTTTCAGAACAGTCTACCAGGAGGTGCAGGATGTGGCTGTGTACACAGCGTTCGTGGAGCATTTTTCCTGCTGTCACAGTGAGCATTCTCTAAAAGCGAATCACATTCTGGGGCCTGCCTCTTTGTGTGCAGCAGAGGTGAGCGTGCTAATCGCGCAGGTTTTGCCCAGCAGTGACTTGCTGGGCGCTCACAGCCACAATGTGGCAGATGCAGGGCATGTATTCTCATCCCTAGTTTACAGATAAGAAAATTCAGAGGCTGACTTAAACCTGGGTCCTCTGGGGCAGGCTGTGTCCGTCTAGGATGTTGCCTGTTTGGGCTTCATGCAACTCTGCTTGGTTACACTGTTAACTGCCTTTGGGTAGGTGATAAGCCACCTGGTGGCTCACACCTCCATGTCCCTAAACTGTGTCCCCTGGGCCAGCTTATTGAGCCTCTCCATTCCGAGAATCTTCCAGCAAGGCGAGCATGATAAGGAGAGGAGTTGCACCTGTTTCTTTTCCTTGACAGAAACCGATATTGAGGACTTCCGTCGGTGTGTGAAGCTGACCAGAGAAATTTTTGCACAGAAAGCCCTGGAACCATTCCGGGGGAAAGAGCTCCAGCCAGGAAGCCACATCCAGTCAGATAAAGAGATAGATGCCTTTGTGCGGGCAAAAGCGGACAGTGCCTACCACCCTTCGTGCACATGTAAGATGGGCCAGCCCTCCGATCCCACCGCTGTGGTGGATCCGCAGACCAGGGTGCTTGGGGTGGAAAACCTCAGGGTTGTCGATGCCTCCATCATGCCCAGTGTGGTCAGCGGCAACCTGAATGCCCCCACCATCATGATCGCAGAGAAAGCGGCCGACATCATTAAGGGGCAGCCTGCACTCTGGGATAAGGATGTCCCCATCTACAAGCCCAGGACCCTGGCCACCCAGCGTTGAGGGAGTCACTGCCTGAGAAGCCCCCCAACAGGCTAAGAGGGCCAGCATAGCCCTTGCTCCAATGGTCTTTCCTGAAACTATCTAGAATGTTAGGATTTAATGTCTGTGAATTGGATCATTTGTTAAGAAATGAGACCAGTACTACTGGTCAGTGAATCGGGTTCCTTTTTACAACATTTCCCTATGGGCCTTTTGGGAAAGGCCAGTATTCTGGTTGGGGCCCCTCTTCCCTGCCTCCTGCAAGGACAGCAAAGGGGAGGGGAGGCTGGCGGAGGAGGATGATGGTTAACTCCTGCCATGTACTCGTCTTGTGTTCATGGTGCTCTCCAACCCAGGGTCCTGCTGCCTTCTTCGGTCCTTGTTAGACTGGAGGAAGGTGGTCTCTCCCAGGCCTCCCTCTGCAGCCCCTCAGAGAGCAGGTGCTGTGCACTGAGGCTTGGAGCTAGTCAGTCCTGCTTGGGTTCTCCAAGGGGGGCATCCTCCTCTCAGGCTGCAAGCTGTAGCTAAGGCCCAGAGTTGCAGTCATTAGAGCTCACCGGGGACACGTGCATAGCCTCCAGCACTCCCGTTCAGAGGGGAAAGCGGCCCACTGGAAGAAACACAGCCTTCTCCTTTCTCTTCTGCTTCCTGATTTCACTCCCAGAGGGAGGCAGGAACTGGTGCTCAGTTGTGTCCCTCTGAGGGCCTTGGGGGGGCCTCCTCGCCAATGCTCTGGTTCTTATTAAACACGATCAGCCCAATGAGAGGACGTCTGGACCTTGTTCAAGGAGATAAGAGTCTGGAGGGGCTCTTTCTTTACTATCGTAGGTTCCCTGATTTAGCATTCCGGAAGATTTTCCTGTTACCAGGAAACCTAGAAACCCAGAACAAACCCTACCTACCAGACCACAGCTCCACGCTGAAGCGGCCAGCCAAGAGGATGCTCTCCTCTCAGATGGGGAAATGACTCCACAGCGGACAAGGCTGGCTAATTCTCATTCTTTAGACGTCTGTGGGAACAGAGCAGGATGGAGCTGAGACTGACAGAGAAAGCAGTCGAGTAAAACTACGCACCCTGATCCTGTAAAAATGAAACTGAGTGAAAGAAAAATAAATTGGCAAACGATTTGAGTTTTTGGGGGTGGAAAGCAGTTACAAGTAGCATTTAAAACAGCTCTTGATTTTTAAACTTCTTATAATTCAATAGTATAATCCCAGTAAACTTATTTTTGAACTGAGACGCCTCATCCAGACTGTTCTGTCAAGCTAATGAAAGTTAAATGCATTTTGGATTGATTTTTTTCCGAAGCCATCCAAAGCTTCTATGGCATCTATGGCAGGGAAGCCAAGAATTGCTACATGGAAACCTGTGTGCTGGGCCCAGAATGAGGGCCAGCTTCACCCAGGATTAGAGTGGATTGAGGTGGCTTGGAGGTCCAACAGCCGCAACTCATGTTTCTGAGAAAGACCTTTCAAAAAGGTGGAAAGAAGAAAACGATCACATCTCTCCTTCCTTTAAAAATTTTAAACAACAAACAGCTCTTGTTTGATCTTACCTGTGTCTGTCTTTATTTTCTGTTCCAGGGGAGGGTCAAGAAAGAAAATTCTAAATCTGCCAAGAGATTTCTCTCTCCTAGAGAGGTTCCCCACCTGCCTCACGGCAGGGTGCACAGCCATCATCCTCTGGGTCTTGGAGCCACCTGCAGGGGCGGAGGAGTGCAGGTGCCAGCCCCACTGCTCTGAGGGCTGAGAAGGAACAAGTTAGGTGTGGAGGGGGTTCCCAGGCGACCGTCTGTGCTGACCTTCTCTGGCACGGGATGGCAGCTATATGGCCATTCAGTGCTGCCATCACTGCGTTCTGTGGTGTTTTCAGCCTCTGAGGCAATGACTGATTTGCTACTGTGGCTGTAATGTAAGATGAGCAAAATGACACGTGGAAAGAGGAGCCTGTCCCTGTTCAGCTCCATTACCTCCAGGCCCGTCTCCCACTCTTGCTTACGGGGCCTTGTTCCATAGGATGATATAACCATACGGTGAAATAAATACGTTTCAAAAGAGAAGGCTGAGTGTGTTCCAGATCCAGGACCCACAGAAGGCAGAGTGGAAAACTGCTTTTGGGGTTCAGACCCAGGACAGACTATTCTGCTATGAAGCGGTTCAGCCCTGACGGCTGAGTGCGGTGGCTGTCCCGTCATAGTGGAGTGGCGGCCCATGCCGTAACAAGGGGCTGTCTGAAAGTTCCACTGTCATGAGGGATCCCTGAGCTCAGAAGGAGGGCCAGAGAGGGGAGCCAAGTGCCGACTCAAGTTAGGGAGCATGAGCCACGGTTATGCGGCCCGTGAGAAACACAGAGACCAGGCCAGCACTCGGCCTCTCAAAGAATCAGGCAGACTGTCATTTAAGCCCCTTAGCAAAAAGCCTGCAATACCTAAAAAACAGAAGAACATATTTTTCAAAAAAATGGTCAAAAAAGCCTAACAGAACGCCGTGTATGTGCCTAATGAACGGGCTCTGAGGAGCACCGACCCCTTTGAAGAAGCCTGCGGTTAAGCTGCTGCGCCAGGTTCTCCCTGGTAGGATAAGGGGCAAACATGCAGGTATGGGAGCAGCCTGCCTGAGCGTGACCGGGAAGCGCTGGGTCCCAGGAGCAGGAGCCCCAGCGCCTTTACAGACTGCCTTTCTGCTTCCAGCGCAGGCTTCAGGAATTACTGTTTCCATAAGTTCAGATTCTCCTCTCCAGACAAACCATACTCCTCCGCCCAAAGGTCGTTTCCTATTTCCGCTGACCAACCTAATGTTGGATCTCTATTAAGATTCAGGAAAAGGCACCCTCTCCCCTGGCCCTGTCTTGAGGCCCAGGCAGTCTCCCATCTCCTCTCCTCCGCCGTCCCCACAGGGCGTCCTCAGGACCATTCTCTCACCGTTGTTCCCATGTTGGAAGCAAGGGCCCCAGGCCTGCTCCTCATTCTCGCCTGCTCTCCCAAGTCCCCAGTAGAGAAGGAACATCATTTTAGAGAAATAAAAACATTTTCAACAAAGGAAAGCGTAGCTGAAGCTTGTTTTTGAGTCCAGAAGGCTAAAAAAGGAGCTGGGGCTCTCTGTGCGACAATAGCTCGCTCTCTCGGTAACCAACTCGTAGAACAAATCCAACACCCACCACAACAAGATCCTTGTTACTTTAGACCATAAAAAACAAACAACATGCAATAAACTAAACTGCCCTGGTTTCTTTCACAAGTGCAGGGTCAGCAGTAAAGAGGATTTGTCAAGCATGTAAAGCCCACACTGTGCACTGAGAAGCTTCCAGGGTCTTCACAACCCACCCTTCCTGGCCTGGGGCCGATTCTGAAACATCTTGGAATAGAGCTGGGAAGCGCTGCCTGGCCGAGCTGTCTGGATGGAAATCAATCACAGAGATGGTTATTAATGAGGTTCTTGCTCACTGATAGTTAAATCAGAGCTCCCATTTCCATTTTGTGATATGATGAGAAACACAAGATTAATGACACTATACGCTCTGTTCCTGGGGACACAACAAAATGACTTTTTTTAGGGAGGTGGGATGGGAACCAAAAAGGAAAGACATTTAATCTTAAAACTTCCCTAAAACAAAGAAAAAAACCATGCTCTACAACTGCAAATTTTTCTTACAAAGAAAAATTTAATGTTAGATGAGAGGCTGAACCAGGCTTAAAGCAGACAGATATGCGGAGTAGTGCAGCCTGTAAAAATGCCAGCTTTTAGGCACTGACTGGCAAAGATCATGGCCCATACCAGAAACTTCAGTCCTGGTCGGGTGACCTTGGACTGACGGTGTGAAGCCACGCAGTAAGACCCACACCCAATGGAGACACACAGTCTGAGATGAGGTGAGAGTGGGTTAGCCCTTTAGGAGAAAGAGTGCTCTCTGCAGCTGGCATTAAGTTACCACGGGCACTGAAGGAGCCAGGCGGGTAAGAACAAATCTAGAGAATCACAGAAATTACAGAACTGCCCTCACAGTGCCTGCCCCTCTGAAGCTCTCACTGGCAAACACCAGCTCTTTGCAAGGAGAGCTCCCAAATACAATAAAATTATTACACAGCTTTATTCTGAAGAACATTTTGCATTTTAATAAAAAAGAATTTATGTCAGGAAAGAGTCATTTACAAACCTTGAAGTGTTTTTGCCTGGATCTGGAGTAAGAATGTCTTAAGAAGAGGTTGGTAAGGTCTTGATAACAAAGTGTTATTATTTACAAAAAAAACCAAAGCCCCAAAACAAACATTAACAGGTTGTCTATGTAATATTTAAAAATTTTGAACCCCAAATTGCTACCTGTCTTTTTGACTGCAGGGAATCCCTGCCAAGGTACCTTGATAAAGTCGGCATAATTCTGTGAACAGAAAAGGAAGCCTCGACGAGTCTAATGATCCCAAAGTGGGTTTCCATCGGGAAGTACAATCGCGTGTGAGTGCATTCTAACGAAAACTTCAGCCCTCGTTCAATTGCATATAAAAGCCCTCAGAGAGAACACACAGTACAGCAATGTTTTGTAAAAAGGCAGCAATTTGACTTGTCCAGACCCCGACATTCTAACCCTGCAGATCTTCACGTTGCTTCCTCTGTCCCCCCTTCCCCAGCATTCCTTATTTCTTAAGCAGCGTCACCAGTCCCCGGGGGACAAGAACACAGGGACTTCGTTCATCTGTGCAATGATTTCTGCACCAGAAATGCAAAAATGTACTGTGGGGGCAGCTAAGAAAACCACAACTTTGAATGCCACAGGGTCAGAGCAACCAGCTTGACCCACTCTGTTATGAACTTATCAGAGGGTTAGCAGAGGAAAACAAAAGACGGTTGTAACCCATGGTGGATCAAAAGGTACGATATCAAATCGTAGAACTCACGCCCAAAGACAAGACTGCAAATGGTCATCTGGTATACCTTGTGTAAAGATAGGTTTATAGCGACTCAAAATATTTTAGAAAATCTCTGTAGTGTCAAGTTCTTTAGAACTTAAAATTGTACCCCCAAAAGATTTTCACTGAATAAATGAGAATTGGCTCTATTTCTTCTACTTCTGGATAGCCCGAGTAAAAATACTAATAATTTCTAGATTTCAGTGGGGAACTACAATTGTTAGGACCCATGGATATTGCTGCAGTTCAAATACGGTACAATAATTACAAAATATAGACCATCTCTTTACAAATACAAATTATAGTATATTACAAGTCATGTACAGTAAATCTATAATTTTTAAACAAACTAGCGTATCTAGGTTTACCTGGTTGCGAGTGCATTATTATTCCAGTTTACAGTTGCCCTTAGCCTGACGGTCAGAGGCTGACCGTGGGAGTGATGCTCTCGTGTAAACTGGCGCCACATAACAGAAAGCTCCTGCTCCCTTTCAGGATGACGGCTGGTAGGTACCTCCTGACTCTCACACTGTATTTCAGAACAGCTAAACAGGAACCAGGAAGCAGTATATTTGGGGGGAAAGGGTGTAAAAATGGATATGCTGGGCCCATTGAATGTCTGATATGCTAGACCGATGGCTGAGGTAATGACACAGGTCTGGTGATCGTCCTCACCTTTAACCTTCCCCACCGTGCCTGCGGGCAGGTGGGTGTGGGTGAGCGCCCTGGGGTGCGCTCTGGACCAGCGGGCGGGGCTTGTCCGACCTCCTCACTGGTCCTCTCCGAGAGGGCTGGACCTGCTGTTTCCCGCAGCTGGGGCTGAGCACATGTGCACGGCTGTTCCCTACCAGGTTTATGGCTTCCTTGAGGCATGACATCACTTGTACAAAAGTCTAATTGAATATGGACTCCACACTAGTGCCTAAACTTTCCTAACTACGAGGCACTTTTTCCCTGGCCCTCCGGCGCCCCACCTGAGGCCAGAGCCAGTCTGCCCCTCCCTGGGGGCTACAGGGTAGTGATGCATATCATTTCATCTGCCAGGTCCTCCTCATCTCTCCCGGGGTCTGGCTCTTCGTCGCTGTAGCCTGGCCCAAAGTCCTGGAGTTCAAAGTCCTGCCGGTGCGAGCCGGGGCCAACGTCCCCGTTGGCCCGGGGATGCATGTTCCCATTAAGCAGGTTGCTGGCTGCACTCTCCATCTCATCGATGGTTAGGTCACAGGCATCGGCGATCTCGTGTTTTGTCGCCGACACGAACTTTGGGTCCCTTGCATACCGTCCTAAGCCTTCAGATATCAGGACCTGTACAGCAACGAAGGTCGTGGCATGAATGCGTGATAAGCCGTAGGGGGAAAAAACGACAGAAAAACGTCCTCAAACATAACCGCACCTTGTGCTTTTGGGACTCAGCCAGTCAGGTCTGCTAGACCTCATACATGATAACTAAATGTAAAAGTAAATCGCTTTGGCTTTGAAAGTGCCATAGAGCTCAAAAAGTACACATGGCCCAACAAGAGTGAAACCCACTGGGGAAAAATATTTTAGTATAAACTCGTAATATTTGCAGGAACAGCACCCGTAATCTTAGGCACAGCTGATTCATGAGACTCGGCCGTGTTTTATACTCAAGCTTTAAGTACCATCCTTGCTTCTAACAAGTGGGCGGTGTCCAGATACTAAGTGTCGCCTCCTGGCTGCAGAGCCCTCCCACCTGCAGAACCACCACCTGCTCCTCCTGCATGTGGTTCTCCATGGTTCCCCCTCTGCTGTGCCTGGCGCCTGCCCTCCCGTGGCATACTCAGTGAGCCATACTCACTGCCTCCACCAAGCTGTCTGCACTCCTCTGCTTGTCGCTGTTTTTGTTGCGGAAGCTGCTGGGGACAGTTAGGCTGGCTGGTGTGAAAGTCCGATAGGAGATGCCAGGCTCATCCGTGTACCATGAGCTGCGGTGCAGGGACGGCAGGCTACCGTTGACCTGGTCCAGGGCTTCCGGCCGCTCAACCTGGATCAGGGGAGTGTAGCATGGTGTCCAGTCCCGGTACGGAGGGGTCGCTGGAGGGGTGGCCCACGACCGGGTTGAGTGGCTTGGCGAGTACTTCTGGGCCTTACTTGAATCTAGGCCTGCAACTGCCATGATCTGAGGAGAAAGGGGAAGT